AAAGCGTAAAACAAATATTATTATCTTTGCTCATTGGCAAGTTTCCATTCACTAATGTTAGGTTTCAAATAAATAAATAAGATAACACGCTGTTAAGTTACTGTTTATGCAGTGGTTGTTGTGTAAACAAAAAATTCCATCAGTTTACCGTAGGGGAAAAAGATTTTGCATGACTGCTGATTTCTAAATACTAGTTCATGTGTTCAAAATGTTTTGTAACTACATCCAATATCACCAATACACAACATGCGAACTTTATACACTTAGCTCTTACAAAAAAAATTACAAAATTGTTGAATTTATATTCCACAAGCAGTAAGCAAGCACTGTAATACATGAAAACATATACCAAGGATATCGAATCTGTATTCTCTGGACTCAGAGGGTGGACCTGGATATTCCCATGTTCTAAATTTACACCAAATTACCTACCACGTGACAGGGCCTTCCCCCTAATAGACTGAATGGAATTGAATCATCTATTCCATGCTATTTTGCTATTGATGAAGACATTTCAACACGACTTAACACACACATTTGGTTTATGTAACACACCATGATAACATTAATTCAAATTACATGAACCTACGATGAGTTAAACTCGGTAGAAGTTGACGAAATGAATGAATACGAAAGTAACGAATACACCCAATTTAAGTATAACATAAATAGTTGGTACAACAATAATGTGTAAAGTATATACTTTCCATACACTAAATCTAAAAAAGTAGTAAACAACTCTTTTCAATGGTAAAGTTGTAGCCAGATTTTGCTTGAAAGTGGTCATACCTAATCGATGGGGTGTGCTGATAAAGATGAATTTTTTTATTATGCATGTCAAATACGCAAATCGAGCCAAAATGAAAGGAAAATTGGAAATTATGGCATTATGTGTGTTACATTGAGTACACTACTACTCATTACAGTAACAAAAATTAAGATGCAATTTTAAGTTAAAGCACTCTGAATAGCACACACTATAAATAGCTCATTTGATTGTGCACTTTTCAATATAAAATTGGTGACAGCAATTCCAAACAGAAGGAATGTCTACTTTATTATAAAATATGAATGACAAAACCTACCCAGTAATAGCAGGTAAGCTAGCAAAAATCATCGTTTCTGTTGTCACTCCATAGTAAAAGGTTCACCAGAAACAACTAAAGTAAATAGATATTGGTCTCAATTATTTCTAAATAGGTAGCTTTAATACCTATATAGTTTTAAAAATGTCAAACATCAACACGGTTTCAATTCCCTGCCAAACACTCTGCAGAAAAACCGTACCATTACTTTTTGAACACCAAAGAAACTATCTACTCCATTTACCCCCCGATAACTATACCACCCAAACACTCTATAAGGTTTCTTCCCAATAGGAGTCTATTAGTTAAAGGTAGTTACAGCTAGTAGTTAGTTAACTAAGTTACCTGCACACACAGCCGCGGCAGTGGTTAGTAACGTTGCCCAGCTCTTCATGGTTTAGACTAACTCACCTCTCGTCGAGCGAGGCTCTCTCTCTCCTCTTTCTCTTTCTATTTACCTCTCTCTTCCTCACCTCATCCTCGTACCAATTGCCGAAGTCTCTTTTGAAGATCCTTTAGGGACGGTTTTGTATAGTACAAATCTATAAAATATATGTATTACTCATTCTTTCAACTATCCATTATATCTGAAGGTCTTAACTATAATGAAGGTTACTACTAAAGTTCATGAGGGTATAAAGATACGTGCTTTAGATTATTTGACGTTTAGTTTGTCATGTTTAACAATTCTGAAACGAATAAACTGGCAAAAATGAGTAATCGATGAAAGTATGTACTTACATGGGGACCGATGCTTCTAGGTGTCGATACTGCTTCGGCAAAAACACAATCAAACTTTTACATAATTTCTTTTTAACTATTTTAACATCTTCTTTGGTCAAAAGACAACGCACAACTCACTAACTTTTGTTTACATTCTCTTATTAGAATTAATAAACAAGTGTTTAAATAATAAGCATGCTAATTATAAATATTAACATTTGATAACAGCTGGTAATCTAAAACCAGTAAGTTAAACCAACACAGCATATAGCAAATTCGTTGGCTTTTGAAAGTGGAAGTTGTGACCGCCTTTAACTTCAGGCCGCGGCCTGGTAGAATTGGCAACGTCGTAAGTAGGGTTGTTTAGTGTCAGACATAAGATAACATGGCAGACAGGTGGCATCAGCTCTATAATTCGCACTTTATTGATTTAAATATAAATTTATGAACATAAATTCAATAAAATATTGAAAATAAAACATACAGAATTTAAAACCAAAACAATATGAATTGAAGATCTATATCTGTACATTTACAGCGGAGTCAATATTTTCATAGTCCAGTAACCAAGCTTTCGTAAATACATAAATACCATTAGCTGCTTCCAAACAAAACAGCTGTTACAACCCTACTTACGACGTTGCCACTTCGAAGGCCGCGGCCTGGAGTTAAAGGCGGCCGTGGTGCAGTTGACATCACATCTACATGGACCAGCTGTTGCCACTTTGTTAAAAAAAAGAACAGTCACAGAGTGTGCTAGTACACAAAATTGATTTCGTTTTCTTTTTTATTACTGAGATGTTCAAGGGAGCATAATAGATGCTAACGCGTTGTGTTACTAGTTAAAGCTATAGCTTACAAAAAGTCGTCCTAACAATGTGAATTAATTAAGAAGAATAGTAGTTTACACCAGAAAAATATTTTAGTGGTTCACTTCAACTACGTCCCTTATGATTAAAAAACTGGTGACAATTTTAACATTGGGGATGGGATGTCTAGCTATGTCTAAAGGTAGAAGGGTTTAGACAAAAGTTTTAAATACATGGCAGTAAACAGCTCAGTTAACTGGTGTATTTTGTCCTGAAACTAACTACAACTTGAACTTAAGTCTAACTCACGGTAGACCGTTTCACAAATTAAAGCTATAATGATTTTATCTTACAGACCTGTTTGTAAATTTCAAATCATAGTTTGAATATGTGATAGCATGGTACACGTTTGAGTGTTTTGTAACCAACTATATAATGACATTCTCTTTCTTAAAAATAACTTTTTTACTGTTGATTGTACTTTATTCAAAAAATTCAGAGTATGACTTTAACATTTGTTTAAACACCGCAGGCTTTCCAAGTCTCAAAGCCTAAGTGTGGGGGGTACAGACTGAAGGGCAAAGGTGCAAAGTCGTTCTGCTATGAAGTGAGAGATTACTTTCACCAAGATCGTTACAGTGTTTTTGAATAATCTGCTCATGACACCATCAGTTAATAGATGCGTAAGTGAGAGAAATACGAAATGACTCAGATGTAACTGGAAAAGGTGCGCAGATTAGTTTTGTTGTATCTCATGCTCGAAACGACGAACTATTATTTTACTACGTTTTTCTACTACCTAGGTCTTAGCCCATACATGTTTCTTACATTGATTCAAGATAGGACTACAGATTGCAGCAATATCGCTTAGTTAAAATCGTTTGTGATTTTCTTGATTTAAACCCCTTGGTGACAGAAGTCCTGTGCTCCAACACTGAAACCACTTCCCCATTTGACCATAGGTAAGTACTACCAGTGCATTAATGAATATTATTTTACACGTATTACAATTCACAGGTAGGAAACTTTTTCAGAATTTGAATAAAAAATAGTCTGAAAAAACTGTCAATCCTGGAATACTGAAGACGTAAAAAAGGTCTGTGTAGCAAAACAATCAACCACACACTGGATATTCTTTATAATAGAGGTGTCTTTCATAATACGTAACCAAGGCATGTTCTTCTAGTAGCCTAGAAGAACAAATGACACATTGGCAATTTTCGTAGAATCTGCAGAACCTTGAAGACGACACAAGAAGTCCTGAGTGGCAAATCAAGCAGTCACATGTTGGAGGTTCTTTATAGTAGGGATAATATTATTATAGTATGATACCAATACGTATTCTTCTAGTAGCCAACAAGGACAAATGACACATTGGCAATTTGCATAGATTCTGGAGACCCTGAAGATGACACAAGAAACCCTGCGTAGCAAAACAATCGGTCACGTCCTGAGTGTTCTCACACTGTCAACTCTGCAATGACAACACTAATATGTGTAACAGTTGCTCTTGCTACCAGTTGTTCTGTACTTTCAACACCTCGTGAGATCTGAGGACATAATTGTGCCTCATCTCCTACACTCTCCCATGTACAACAAATACTGCAGTTTCTCCATCTAATCTGGATTACACCAGGTTTATACTCTCACAAAGATTGCATTGTTTAGAAATGGTAGGGTTTTCACGTGATTATTTTTTGCTGGTATTTAAGGATGATTTTAGTAAGACTTGTTTGAAGCCATCTTTTCTTAAATATCTGGTTAATATACTAGTTTTCTTGGAGAGTACCTAATTTTAATGACATTTTGATGAAACTTTGATGAGACACCGACATGAGTTAACCTGTTCACTATGTCTAAATTAAATTTAACCAGTGTATAAATTCAAATGGACTAGTAATTAAATAAAGCAGCTTGTTTTATAGTTGCAATTTGAGGTCATATCGAAGATTTCATGAACATAACCATAGCTATTCATTTTCATTCAGTAAAGTAAAATACAATTTTACTAATAATACAGGCCAAGCAAACACTCTTCATTTCTGAGAGATTTGCTCACATGGAAAGGTTAGGCTATAGGCCAGAGTATAGATTGACATAATGGATCATTTAAGCCTGAGTAATGGTTCAATTGAAAACAGGTTGATTACTGTGTGTGTATATGGCTTAGAAACTTAGTGATTTTTGGAATAATATATTTCAGATATTTTCTTAAAATATATTAGACATTAGCTTTTGTAAATAAAGCTCATCATATAAAAATGACAAACACAGTTACTTATCTACTTCTATACATTCGCCTAAAATTAACTAAAAAAACTAAATTACATTCGAAAATATTTATTTCATCGCATCTACCTTCTCCATCATAGTCGCATCTTACTTATCCACCGTCGTCGCAGCCAACTTCTTCACCAGCCTCCTTCACAGTCACAGCCTCTTTCTCTACCGTTGTCGCAGCCTCCTTCTTCACCGTCGCATCTTCTTTCTTCACCGTCGCAGCATCCTTCTCGACCGTCGTTGCAGCCTCCTTCTTCACCGTCGCATCTTCTTTCTTCACCGTCGAATCTTCTTCCTTCACCGTCGCAGCCTCCTTCTTCACCGTCGCATCTTCTTTCTTCACCGTCGCAGCCTCCTTCTTCACCGTCGCATATTCCTTCTTCACCGTCACAGCCTCTTTCTCCACCGTTGTCGCAGCCTCCTTCTTCACCGTCGCATCTTCTTTCTTCACCGTCGCATCTTCTTTCTTCACCGTCGCAGCATCCTTCTCCACCGTCGTTGCAGCCTCCTTCTTCACCGTCGCATCTCCTTTCTTTACCGTCGCAGCCTCCTTCTTCACCGTCGCATCTTCTTTCTTCACCGTCACAGCATCTTACTCCACCGTCGTTGCAGCCTCCTTCTTCACCATCGCATCTTCTTTCTTCACCGTCGCATCTTCTTTCTTCACCGTCGCAGCCTCCTTCTTCACCTTCGCATCTTCTTTCTTCACCGTCGCAGCCTCCTTCTTCACCGTCGCATCTTCTTTCTTCACCGTCACAGAATGCCTCTCCACTGTCGAGGACCAACACATTCGTATTATTATGTTTGCTTACTTTTTTCCATTCTACTTTAACACCGTGCTCAAAATTTAGACAATTTTCTTCTGACCTTGTGTTTCAAATTGCTTAGCAACAGACTTGTAAAATTCTTGCTTATACTTTGCGACACTTGGCCATTTGATCGTATTTCATGATAAGACATAATAATAAAGTCCTGATATCGTGACAACAAAACTTTACTAAAATAATATGGTCACTTAAATAATACAGTATAGATCCAGTGTAAAAAAATGTAAAAACAATATTTTTCAAACAAAATCTCGTTTCAGGGAAACCACCATCAACTAAACAATTAAATAATTGGACACAGAATAAAATACAATATATGAGGGGTTTAACGAAAGAAATACCAACATAAAATATCCATAGAATGTTGTTAAGTATCCCTTAAACGTGGGCTTTGGTTCCACACGAGGAAATAGGCAACAAAAGGGGAACGGAGTAGGCCAAGAATATGTGTACAAAAGCGCCGTTAGCATCTTACAAGGCTAAGAGTTGCACAACAACACAATGGGCTGAGGTTGTTGACTGGATGCCAAGGATGAAGGATGCGTACATCTACACAGATCAGCTGATTAAAAATACCTAATCAGCTGACATGTATGCAAATAACCTTCAAATAAGTCCATTACCTGATATGTTATAACTATTTCTGTTAGAATGTATCATACTGAAGATGACCTCATGCAAGAGTATGGTATTGGAAAGACGAGAGGTCGAAGGATCTTAGTGGAATGAACAAAGTGAAATATCTGACTTTAGTGCAAGTTGGCTTCTCATTCGAAGAATGAAGCTTATATTTATATCGGTTTGGTGTCCGTCAATTCTATTGGGTTGTAATGATTGTAATTGGCATGGCCACATCTAGACAAAACAAAGGTAGCAACGTTGGTTGCAGTACCGGCCAACTGAAACAGCTGTTGCACTTATTCATAAATCTTCGGTGCAATTTTTGTTTGCGCGTTTGGCATTACTTTTATTACCATGACTACTTAATGGTGTGACGTTGCAACACACCAACACCTCGGTCTTTTAGAGGAGCCTATGTTGTCGGTTGTTCTATTGGTGAGAGTATTCTGGACAGGAGATTCCTGAAACATACAGTTTGAAAGAGTTAGATGACAGTTTTGTTACTGCAGAGATCAGCTGTAACTTCAGTTACAAACATGTATAAAAAGCCCAATGATCAGCTGGGACAAGTTTCAAGCCGTCAAAGGACACATAACCTTATTGTTTCCAAATATCTCAAGTGGTTATACTTATATATGCTTTACAGCCAATATTTACTTAGCAGTGGCGAACGATGCGTTGTGGTGTGCGAACAAAAATACATGTTTTCTGACACGTCTCCAGCTCATTGAAGCAAGCAGTTGCATCACAGAGACATGAGAAAGACAGATGAAACACAGAGAAAGATGTCAGATGACACTAGCTATTGTTGCTTCGCTTCCTTTTCCTGATCTCCCGCAATAGAACTGCCATTGTTTGCTAATTTGAGACAGTTTCCGACCAGTGACCTGCTGATGAAGTTTTGATAGAAGCGTTAGATTAGTCTCAGTTCGGGATTGAATTTAGTAGTCTTTGACCATTTATCATTTATCTTCCTTGTTGATCAGCTGAGGACAACCAATTTAAGGTTTCTTTATTGTGGTTTACGTTTTTCATCACTTGAGAGCGCTGATCTCGTAATAAGTAATGTAGCAATTTCAATAGTTATTTGTGTAACTAGTATATAAGTGAAGTGGCACTTTGCTGCAAACGCGAGAAATGTTTACGCACGAGCCGCAGGTGAATGTGTAAAGTTGCTCGAGTGCAGCGAAGGCAGTTTGCACTCGTGTTACACATTATATGTTTCCTACATTTACTATAAAGCGTATACATAATTAGTCTTTCAAACAGTGTACAACACGTTTTTAAGTTAGGTTAAATCCAAACATTGAACGAAATAGGAAACAAACTTATTTTCAAGCGTACGCGGAGTAAGTGCATAATAAAAGCACGCTGTTTTGTAATGTTTTGTTGAAATACTGGTGCGCACCAGAGTAAAAAGTGTGTGCCAAAGTAAAAACTGTGCACCAAAGTAAGGCTTTCTATACTATAATCTGTGTGACGCCCACTTTTTTAGGTAACTGTAGGAAAAGTAATTATTATGACAATATTGAGCACAAAATTGGTAAACGTTTATCTAGTATTGTGACAGAAGACGAAAAAGCGCGTCACAAAACTTACCTTAAGACTATCTTTAACACTTAAAAAAAACTTGAACGAGTTAAATTATTGCCAGACATGAAACACATATCAAAAGAAACTTTATGTTTTGATTTTAGTAGGCTGAGAATTCTTAAAGGTTAATTTTGCCCAGTATGAAACAAATACGATGTATAGCTAGAGATAAACATAAAATATTACGCCCTGCTATGCATAGGGTTGTTAAAACCTTCTTCTGCTGATCTAAAAAAAACTTAAAAATCAACAAAATAATATGTGTCATATAGTATTATGACAGAAGGTGGTTTCTTATTTATAAGTTTGTTTTGTCTAGATTATACCTCGGGCATACGGAACCCTTGGAAATTGTATATGCATATCGACGTATTTGACTGTTTTGCGTTTGGCATAGCAATCCTTTAGAAACATACTTTAGCGTTTATCATTTGCAAGTCTGTCGAGTCTGGAAAAGTAATAAGGAAGCGTAGAATGCGGTAAGATGACACGGTTCAGACGATATTGCTCCATAAGACTGGCTAGAGTGCATTTTTGCTCCTTGACCTGGTAATAGAGATTATCCAACGATTACGGGAAATCGCAGTTATTTGGAATAGGTTTGCTGCGAGTAACGGGAGTGTGTCTGTTGCCAAGATTTTGGAAACCCGCCTTAAGTTTAAGATCCATAAAAAATATTTGACACAGGAAAGGACGACTGTATGGCTGTAAAATCTTCCTCAACAAAACTCCATAAGACTATTTTAATTTGTTGAAGGGGTCTAAGAATTTTATTTCCTTCGTACAACTGATGGTTGTATACTAGCATTGAGTATTATACACTTGTAGAAAACTGATTGATGTCCGTCACCTTGCATACCTTTGCATAAAAATTCCCATTAACCCATTATTTTTTAAATTTCTAACCAACCAATTGGTGCTGCTATAAGTATTGTTTAAATAAATCAATTGGGCATGTTTTAACTTGAAAAAATAAACCTTTCCTAGCACATTCCACCTGTCATAATATAACACAATATTGATAATCATTATAATCAAAATATTATCACCATAATCAAAGTGATTATCATTATAATCAAAGCATTCATCAACAATATTAATACATAGATTGTTTTCTTACTCTGTACAAACATATGATAATCATAAACGCACAATGTTTTGTGTACATCCATAGTGTCTAAAATAAATAAATTGTTTATGTTTTCCAATATTACATTAGCAACTAAGACTATCCTAAAATTATATTCGTTCAACCCAAATATACTTAGAACAACCAAAATTAATTTAAAACTTTATACATGGGTTCAAATAGAATTCAGAAGTTGTTATTTTCTGAGTACAGTGACCTGGAGGACATAGTGTTGGTGGAAGGACCTTTTGCAGAAACTGATCGAGAAGGAAGAGGCATTCGTCAAGTGCAGATAGGTTAGTACTTATAGATCATAACCCTAACATGGTAAAATTTAGATATAATCATTGACTAGTAGTCAAAGATATAATAAATGTATATAACTCAGGTTCAGTCCCAGCCGGCACACTCCTCTGTATGTAACGTGTCTTATCACGTGTGAGTGAGTGTGTTAAAAGCATAAAGAAATTTCCGAACAAATGTTATCAAACCTTTTGGACAGGTTAATAAACCTATGGAAGAAAGGTTTTCTAGGTAGAAAGGGGCTCCCGTTCAATAGTGTTTCTATCATTATAAATCTATATCTTCGTTCTATAAGGTCCTCCATAAAACCATCAAACACCATAAGGGCCACAATTGAGGCAAATGTTTTTCTAAGCATTTTTTACTAGACGTTAACGTGAGGTCAAACTATTCAAAGGGAAAGCTGTCCAAACCCATATTAAATTGTTATGGATGTGCCGGGAATTGAACCCGTCCCTCCCGTACCGAAGTCCGAGACGCTAACCACTAGGCTAGCTACACACCTCAATTGTGCTATTTCTCTGCAATTTATCCTATAAGATAAACAATACATGTATTGGTCCTGCTCTTGAGGAGACGAATGCTCTTTAACATTTTTATTTACCCGTACACATTGCCCTTAGACACGTCTTTAAAAAGTAACGATTTAGTGATTATCCGATGTACCTACTTCAGTCTTAAACAATAATATAGTTTGCATGGTGGAACCAGTTCCCTGAACCCGTCTGCGGGTCAGGAGACAGTCGCCATCATACAGACTATAATCATACAGAATGCACCACTATGCACCACACTACAATCCCATCAGCACACTCAAATGTTGACTTAAGTTTCTTTAAGGTACTCCCTTCTCTTTGATCCTTCAATATCTCAACTATGGGCAAAGAAGTGATAGGACAGGGTTCCGTCGTTTTTTAAAACGTTTTTATTAGGTCGCTTTCTTGTCCGCTACAAATTTTGCAACCGATTTTATACTAACTTCCCGATGAGCTTGGGACTTGAAACTTGAAACATATCTCACAAATGGAAGACAATGCAATATTATACAATTTAATTTTCATATTTCCCTTGGGCTACGCCCCATGGGCTTGTTTTTATTAAATCGATTTCTTGCAAATTTTGATACTTCCCGATGAGCTAGAGACTTGAAATTTGAAACATAGCTCACAAATGGATGACATTGCAATATTATATCATTTAATTTTCATATTTCATTTCGGGCTACGCCCCATGGGCTTGTTTTTATTAGCTCGCTTTCCTACAAATTTTGATATCAATTTTAAACGATGTTCCCGGTAAGCTAGAGACTTGAAATTTGAAACATAGCTCACAAATGCATGACAATGCAATATTATATCATTTAATTTTCATATTTCCCTTGGGATACGCCCCATGGGCTTTTCAAATTTTTCATGTTTACATTTTGAAAGAATGTAAATAAATATATCAATTAATTTGAGTCAGCTGTAAATACTTAAATTTGACAGTTCAAAGAGCAGAGGAAATATAGATAAACAATCTGATTGCAGATATAAAGATGTTTGTTAAAATGTAAATTGTTATTTATTTAATGTTCTATAAAGTAAACAATAAATTAAATAGATTGATATATTTATAGTTAGTAGGTAGGCCATACATTCAATCTAATACATAATTATATGAAAAGAAACTCAAATAAACCTTAAATTTCCCACATGCCTTTGTCTTAATCTGATATAGATGCTTGAAATAGATTTAACATCCTCACGCATTAAAAAACTAAAAAATAGAAAATAATTTATAAATAAAAAACTTTTTTAAACAAAACGTTTTTAAACGCCCTAAAAAGTAGAAAATAATTTACAAATAATTTATAAATATGTTGAGAGAGTATAAATACTTGTACGATTTAAAACGAAAAACGTTGGGTGCATGCAATTAATTGATAATAATACATTAGTTCAGTAGGTGAAGGTAAACTATCTATTGCATGCACCCAACGTTTTTCGTTTTAAATCGTACAAGTATTTATACTCTCTCAACATATTTATAAATTATTTGTAAATTATTTTCTACTTTTTAGGGCGTTTAAAAACGTTTTGTTTAAAAAAAATTTTTATTTATAAATTATTCAATTGGACAAGGGTGAGCACATTCACTGTATACTTTAAATTGTCAAAAATAAGCTCATCGTAAAAAATAAAATGCTCAAATAGTGTACGAATACTGAGCATAGCACAAATAAAACATTTCCAAAGAACATAATTCATAGAAATAGGGAGTAGGATTGGTTTAGCGGAGTTGAGAAGTGTAGACCGGAATTGCGCCAGTTATGTGAGGGTTTAAAGGGTCAGCCTGACACGCACCGGGATTGCGCCAACGCTACCCCAGGTAGCCGGGTAATCGGGCGGAATAAGGAGTGTAACCGAACCTAACCTAACTTAACCTAACATTGTTTGCACACTGCTGGGATAGTTTCACAGAAAAATCTCTGACAAAATAAATGCCGCATTGATGCAATGAGGGTGCGTTTAAGGAGTAGATTTAGCAGTGGCATTTTGCCGGTGTCTATCTGGCCCTAGTGGTGCAATCCCAATGGACCGGTTGAGAACTGTTATTACTTTTTAAAGGACTGACTCCCACCAAGCTCATCGTCGCGTCCTACTACGTGGAGCCTGTGGCAGAGATGGATCATGACTGGAGGTCTCCTAGAGGTCAGGACTTGGACATCGAGAGTTTCGAGCTGGTGTCAGCCTATCCGGTGGAGAGCGTCAACCTATCTGTGTACAGACGACGGCGCAGACAAACGTTGAAGGCCCGCTTCTGCAACGGGAAGGTGGTCTTCTTCGAGATAGGTGGATGGCAGGAGCGTAAGGTATGTGTGGAGAGTTTTAATTTGAGATGGTACTTTAAATTTGTGAAGGTCAGGTAAGATGAAGGGGAGCAAAAAGAGGGGATGAGTTTGGGATGAATGGGTAGAGATGAAGAAGAGGAGGGGGTTTTTGAGGGAAGGGTGCGATGTGTGAAGGGAAGAAGATTTGGAATGAGATAAGAAGGATGGGTTAGGAAGGAGCGGAAGAAAATAAGTCAATTCCTTGCTGATTAATTACGTTTAACTTTCAATTTAACTATTAACCATTGTTTACTATAAAAGGTTCTCGTTATTTTTTTCAGATTGTAGCTCAAACTTTATAGACCTCAATTTTTACCATACACATTTACAAAGGTCGTAAAACTGTTAAAAAAAATTAAAATAAGCTACTACATTTACTAAAATATCAATCAATCAAAAGTTTGGGGCATAACTAACCAATTTTAAATAAGAGAAATGATTTTTCGTAGCATTATGTACGTTTAGCTTGTGGAGTAAATATAATAAAAAACTTTAGTTTTAAATTTCAGTAAACATATTTCTGTTGTAAAAGCCTTACACATTGGAATGTGTCCAAAAAGGCATTTCACTGCTATAATTACTCACAGAATTACCTATAATCCCAAGAGACGTTTTAATCTCATCCAACAATTCTTCAGATGCTGTGGTCTCTGTGGTGTGAGAGGGTAAAGTTCCTCTCCCCCTACGAGAGTGGAAACTCCGTCTCCGAGACTTCCATAGGGAGCAGCACCAGCAGTAGTCCCTCCCTGTATATCGCCAGGAGCTCTCTCTCCGTCAACAAGACTGGGACTCCGACCCTGTGGAATCATTACGCCTGTGGAGAGGTAATTAGAAGTTGTTAGGTTGGGTGAAGAGGCGGAGAATTTGTATCCCCGGTAGATATGAAGTAGAGTAATTGGATGAAGTGGAAGAAGAGTTATAGACGAAATAGGTGAGAAGTCTGGGTTGGAGGAGGAAATGGATTATGAGGTGGAGGGGAAGTAAAGGTATACTACGGTTGGGTGACTTTTTACAAGTAGTGGATGAGTAGATTAATAGGTGGAGGTGAGAAGGATTTGGATGGGGAATGGGTAAAAGAAATGAAGAGGGAAAGGGAATGGTATATGCGGGAGTGGAAGAAAAGACGAGGTGAACTTCTCTTGAGTTGCTGATACACTGTTGATGATCTTTTTCAGTTAACGTACTATTCTTGAAATCGTGAGGCAAATTAGGCATGTTCAGTCAATACGGACAATATATTTCAGAATGCAATTTTACTTCTCATCTTATTGTAAAATTTTAGATAAATTAATGAGGGATTTAAATTTAATGAATGACAAGACGAATCATAGCTTGTGGGATGCTTTGATACCTTGTATAGCATTGTTATTTCTTGGTAGAGCTATTTATAGATATTTCATAGAATCGTTGATGAAAGAGCGACGATCACGGACAGCTGGGTGCGTTTCCATTCATCTGTGTAGAAAGTACATTTCCATTCATAAAGCCTCCAGGAAATGTTGCGGAATATTTACATGGCCAGATGGCACAACTGATTTTACATTCTGACATAAGCCAGACAGTGTTAGTTGTTTTTAAATGAGTTTTGCGTTTTCCGAAAATTAAATGTTACTTAACATTGTTAACCTATCCCTTAACCTTCGGGTCCGTGCATTTATAAGACGAGTTTGAAATTGTTGTATCATCTTTCCTTCATAGACAAGGCAGCGTGACAGCAATGGTGATATAATGGAGGCAAGCTGTCTAAAACTAGCAATGTCTGGCATAGTGGCAAAGGTGCTATCATGTCTATCATGCTATCAACTTATCGAAAACTAATCAAATTTTTAAGAGCTTGTCAAACTTTATTTACAATCAATCCCTTTTCTTAATCCGTCTAGTACAAGTCAATAACTTCACAGAAACCAGGTACATCATATTTATAGATTCCAAAAACAGCAAATAGCCGATTCATTTTATTTTGAAACAAACACTCATGTTCTTGATATGTTGTGTTTATTTTATGTTTTTTATTCAATTATGCTCCAACCTCTCTTTTGACGTATTATGCTGTACCTAGTAATTTTCTTTGACAAAACAAGTTTATTTTCTAGTTTCCATAAAATGTCTCTAACTCAGACTTTTCTAGAGTTCCTGGATGGATCCCAATTTGTATCTGGGTCCAAATTTCAAGGACAAAGGCATCAGCGGATTTACAATTTTTGGTTTGAAGAGTACAAGGTAATGAGTTTGACGACTCAAAGATTTTACTAAATGATAATACTGCCAAGCAACTACAAGATACATTTAATAGAAGTGTTTTTTGGGTTAAATATGTCTTTAAGTTATCACCGTTAAGCACTAAAGATAAAAATAAAATATTTTGTATTTTTATGACACCATGTTCAAAACGTTGAAGATTACTTATAGAATCATACTATTTTGAACACAAAGTGTTTAAATGAAGAAAATATTTACCTGTTGCAGCCAGTTGTATCCAGTTTTAAAAACGAACACTGTATACAAATGTTCTTCCTAAGTTAGTAGCAACAGTAACATCATATCCTAAATTGACATGATATTGACTATAACGTAGCTGAATTAGAGAGAAAAGAATTTATTTATTTATTTTATTTTTTATTTATGAATCCAAAAGTTAACAAAAATGTTTGATAATGTTCCTCTGGGACCAATATACAATCCAATCACCTCGATTTTTGAGATTTTGCTTGAAATATTCAAAGGTTGATTTAGGCCTATAATTTATTTCTTTTCCTCATTCACTTTAAGGTTGATTCACCTCTGGTCCATTAGGTTGATTAAGGATGATTTCATTACATAAAGAAGGGATCTAGCCCTCATGTTAGAAATAAAAGTTTTATTTTTGACACTGGTCGGTGGGAAGCCTTAAATTCGTTTGTTTTTAGGAAACCTGCGCCTATGAATGGGGTAAAGTATCAAACAAAAGTAAGTTGGGTTTTCATTATTTATAAATAAAATCGATTTAAAACTGTTCTTTACTGTTATAGTTGTAGTTTTGTAATAAGGGTTGCGTGCAAACAATTTTCAACGAGAGCTTAACTTATCTCATTACGTCTTATCTGTCATCACAGCATCGATAGTAAAAATAAATGTATAAATGTTTACTGAATATTACCGATGGTCTTTTATTGAGAGTGTTTTTAAGTAAACGTGGAATTAAAATTACTCTAGATGAATTTTAATTGTTCGTGCATTGTGTAAAGATCAAAATGTAATCACAATTTATTTCTTTGGATATTTGTGCTGATCTATTCCTTAAGGCCACGTAAAATTACAAATTGGATCTAGTTCAGATCATTTACTTGACATATTTCTATAGGCTTCTCAATATTTTTGTATCATTTGTTAGCGTATGGTTTATTTTGTTTTGGAGTAATTGAAATTACATATATCTATCATTAGATAACACTTTAATCAATTTATTTCAAATTAGTCATGAGAATAGTTATCATGTAAGTTTATAAAACATCATTTTTCATTATTTAAAAAAACTTGTTTGTATTGCACTTATTAACTTTTTTAAATGTATGGTTCAGTGTTAGTATTTCCCCCTTAAACTACATTTTCAACGTATTGCAAAAATAAAACTTTTATTTTAAGAGGTTTGTTCGGTAAGCATAGAAACCTTACACATATTATAAACTAGGGTATGATGCGATTAATTTCATCATCTAGGCCTATGTACAAGAAATTGAAAATACAGCTTACTCTATGTACTCCAGGAACCTCTGATCTTGTCGACCCAGCACGAGGTGATGTCAGCGGAGGCGGTGGAGATCTGGGAGTGGAGGAAGAGAGCTCCTGGACTTCGCCCCAGGGTCCGAAGAAGGTACGCCCTCAGTCCCTGTCCCTACTTGCTAGAGGGTGTAGGACTAGGAGTGTCTAGAGAACTTTGCTACTCGATACAGGTAAATCTGTTATGTTATGCTGAAACATTTACATTTAATTTAGTTTCGTTGTAATAATAGCTTAATCTTGCTTTACAAAGTGGAAATAACGCAGATGAAAAATTCTGGGTGTCAAACCACTATAGAAGAGAAATTTGAACTATGTCACCACTAGTTTTTTAAAAATCCAATTGTGTTAAATAATTTCAAAATTCTCACTAGGTCAATTTGACCAGCTGTCTAAAATAAATAAAGCAATATTTATTTCAAATCACTTTGAACGTCTAAGGGATAAAGAGGGGAAATACCTATAGCAATCATAATTAAGTCGATTATTTTCCTAAAAACTGCATGTAATAAGGTCCAGAAGATTTCGTGTGATTGAAAGTCTGGCATACATTTTTTGAAATGACAAATCAATGACGGATATTGATCTGTCATTTACCTATTGCAGTCCCTAAAACAAGGTTTTCTACTGTTCTGCCCCTAACTGATGATTGCAAGAATATAAAGGACCACTTTAGGGTGTTGTATTTGATTCCACTGCAAAATATGAAAACCGTTAAAGTCATTCTGTCAGACGTTATTTTTGTAGACAAAGAAGAACGCATCTCTAGTTAATCTTCGAGAGGATGCTGAAGAGTTTCAACCTCCAATACCTAAAGGATGTCTGCTGAGGAGGGTGTCGCTAGAGTCCCTGGCTGTCCCTGCTTCTTGGCTGCAAAAGCTTCAAGAATCGGAAGATGTCCAATCTCACCAGTAAGTTGTATCTTTTAAAAGTAGAAGCTAGATTCATACTCAAGCAAGTATTAATATGAGTGCAAATCCTGCACATTTTCCCACTCAATTTCGGAGATGGTTAATTAAATTCCGTTACTGTTTAAAGTTTATTCCATATCGTTAGGGTCCAGTTTCAAACCACCAAAACGCTTCCAAAATTTTTGTTTTTATTATTGAAACAGCAACATACATTCTCATTTAAAAGCGAGCATCATATAGATGTATTTAATATACAACAATATTGACAATTATATTTTTCAAAAATCAGCTTATAATGTTAATTCTTTCAGAGATGAGCTGAATTTCTGGACGCGTTATCCTCAACATCTTCTACAGTGGGGGAGTGACCAATACAAGAAGCAGCAACATTACTTGAGGGCTATGAGAAAACAAACAGATCCACGTAAGTTGAAAATGGCTGTTTTGACATTTTTATTACTTTGAAAACTGCTTGTCAACATTTGATCTTATTGATCTTATATTGATTATTGATCTTATATTGATTATTGATCTTATTTGAAACAAAGCTCCACTAAATAAAATTAAACTATAATAAATCTTAAGGTTGGATAATGTACTCCAACTCCAAGCTTGGGAATGTACTCAAGGATTACATTCTTCTTTTAAGTATTATATTTAACTTTAACCTTTCGATAGTGTGGGAATCCTATATGTTCAGGTGTTGTTGTACTATTTTTCAGTGTTTAAAAGCATATATAGATAAATTGCCTGATAAAATAGAAGCTGAAATTGTACAATTACGAGTAAGTATGCATGCTAAAAAAAAATTCAAAATACACAGGCCTACGTCATATAATATGGATTTTGAGGGTATGATCAAAATACACCAGTTTAACATGACATGAAATGACGAAATACAAAAAAATAATAATTTATGACATTTCTAACTAACAAAACAACAATCGCATATCATTAAGATCTGTATTACCACTCACTGCCTTATGCTGTCGTGTACGTTTTGTTTTGTTGTGTAGTGATTTGTTTTTTTTTATTTTCAGATACTTTTCGATTAAAAAGCAAAAAGAAATCGAATGATTCACTTTATCTTCAAAAGACCAAGGAAAACAATTCGATCAGGTAAAAGATAATTTGGTTGAAGCATAGGGAAGAGAATAGTTTGATCTATGCTAGAAGTTTTATATAAAAGTTGAATTAGGCTACTTGAATCTCTTCGTAAAATTGAATCCCTTAAATCAGCCAACTTAAAATAGTTAATGAAAACAAAAACACATTATTCTTGTTTTAGAAAGACATAGCAGCAATAATGCTATTGCAGAATTTAAAGCTAGTTTTTTGTGAATTTTTCAGTCAAGCTTTAGTGCACTCATTTTGACTAAATATGTATCTTGTTTTATAGGTATATTTTACCATATATGATTTACCCTCAGGGTATAAACCAAAAACACAAGCAAAGGTTTGTAAATACTGTTTTTATCTTTGTTTTATCTGACTTAGTTTTGAGTTTGAGAAAGACAAGAAACCCTTAGCGAATATCAAAACACACTAGCGGGGAGCAGTCTCTTTAATATGTCTTCCACAGATCATTGTAGATAACGTGTATTTAATTGTAAGTATGAAAATATTGACAAACCACTAAGGGTGGGTTGTCACTTCAAAGCTAGCGCTCCTAGTAGAGAATTAAGTAACCACACAATCCATTGTTGACAATCTGCCTTATCGACGTGACGATACTGGCGCTACTAGTACCTCTCTTCGGTACTACTATTCTGCAACCATACTCTATCCCTACAGTATAATACTATTTATAGTATGTAATTGTATGGTTCAAGTGCTTAAAAAATCACAAGCTTGATTTTGTGTACAGTGCAAAGGCATTATTAAATTAAAATCAAGCACCAATATTTAAAATTAATTACTTATTAAGTGGTATCTATAAATGATCATCATTAAAATAGGTAACAATATCCATTGCAATTATATGTGAAATTATACTCTATCTCTTGCAGATGGAAAAAGTACGCGTGTCAAAATCATGAGTTTAATGGTGCTTGTGGTGATTCAAAGATGACTCTCGGTCTGACTAGTTTTATGAAGAATGAAGGTGAATTGTAAATGTTACACGGTTTGTATAATTGTATTTAGTGTGGTTATTTTGTCAACACAACTGTAAATTACGGACATATACTTCTTAAGTGTTGATTTTAATCAATTTTAAATATAATATCTTAGTCTTGGTTTCTGGTAAAATCATCATTAATCTTTCTTCTCAACTATTGACTCCGATTAAAACTTCAATCAAACGAATAAAATTGCCATAACATGTTATAATCGGTATATATTCAAAATGTATTTAAAATTGTCAGCTGTATCGCGATTTTAATAACGAAAACTATAGTCTCAATACCAATTTGTTATTTTTGTTCTAAAGACACACTAAAACGCCTTCAAGAACTTATCCTTCAGGTTTAACAACCGTTAAGGTATGTGAAGAACTGGTTTGTATTTTTCTCTCCACAGATGAAGGATGGCTGCTACCAGTTACAAGATTCACCTCATCAACACTAGCCAACCAGCTGATCATGGCGCACAAACAGCTGTTTCTAAAGGTCTATTGAACCAATTGAGCCTTTCTTTTATGCTTATTCAACATTACTATTAATGCCAAAACATTTAATAGGTCTCGGTTCACAAACCTATTGAACTGTGCATATACAATATTGGTTTGTTTCAAAGTTGTTCTCCTTAGCATCCTTATTCAAATTTATTTCTACTGTATCATAAAAAGGGGGTGCCTCTCTGTCCACACGAAACCCCCTTCAACATAATAGCTAGATTTTGTTCAAAGATCTCTTCTGGCTAAAGAGGACTAAGTCCTAAAACAGCCTCAGTCCAGTAGGGTTTCAGCTCTCTGAATTGGAACATCACGAAGAAGAAGAAGATAGCTACCAATAGTGTCGTAGCCATATTGCCGTCCCGATGAATTTCTTTATAACATATTAGTAGATTTTCTCCTCCGGTTCTGAGATAGTGTTTTTAAAAGTAAATATTTATTTTGAAAGTTGTGGCAACGAAGCAACGTCTAGTATTGACACAATGTTTCTGTTTTCGAATGTCTTTGGATATACATTTTATCAGAGGTTTAAACATGGAACATATTACGAACTTACAGATAACTATTTATATACTGTCATTAATGACGTACCAAGAATTTGTAAATATTTATATAACATGAATATCTTAATATTTCGCATAAACTTGTCCTTTGATTTGCATAGATTTCCGCTCTGGATCTAGCAAGAGCTCAGAAAGACAAAGGAAGTTGTAGAACTCCAAGTTTACGTACTCTTATTTTTTTCTCTCAAAAGATTTCTTGTGTGGTTGCAAACTGCATTCTTCAAGAACAAGATGTCCAGGTAACATTAGCCTTACCTCTACGGCTTTTTTTCATGCCTTGAATGGCTGAATCTCTTGAAAAAGATCATTTCCCTGGGCATTGTTAGGCAAACAACAATAACATTCTTAGTTAAGGATGAGATATTGCTTGTCAAAATGATGGGATACATTTGTTTTAGAAAGGTTGGTATGATTAAAATACATTGAACCACTGAACTGGAAACTGGAAAATATGGGGACGTTATATTGCATACATTTAAGAACAAACTATATGGCATTTAAAATAACTGATGATAAAACAATGCCAGAAGACTCCAATGATTAAAAACCACAATCACTTAAATTCTAAGAATTTCGCCATAGTATAAAGATGTAAAAGATGTATAAAGATGTGTTTTAAGATGTAAAGGTATTATACGAATAATCAGTATTTGGTTTTAATCTTCAATTATATGCTTCCACGAGCATATACTATAGATTCGTGGATGGACGACCGTGTCAAAGGCCAATGGGCAATAGAAAACCAATAGAATACCTTGATGTTAGAATACCATGATGATTCTGCCACTGTTGATTTCCAGTCAGCTCACCCTAAATTTTGCTGCAGCACTTTTCAGTTTATCCCTTTCCTAACTATCTATGAAAAGTTACTGTCCATCAATGTTTCGATGTTGAGAACCATCTTCAGAGTGACTTTCCTTCCTCGCATAGTAGTAGTCATTTGACGTTGATGGACAAAGATGCTTTGTTTCTGAAACGGTTCTCGCTTGAAGATGGCACTTATACAGTGATTTGATTAATTTGTTGTCGATTTTCAACGTCTTATTTACAGAGGAGAGCTCGTGTGATTGGCAAGTTCATGAGCATAGCTTACAACTGTCACAGCCGACAGAGTCAGATGTCTGCAGAAGCTGTTCTGATTGGTCTGCACTGTCCTGCGATCTACAGGCTGCAAAAGACATGGGGATATGTCAGGAAACACCACGCGTCCAACTACAGGTAACCATCAAGTCCTTACTATGTCTAGACATCTAGGAATATAGCCTTTGATTACTGCAAAATCGTATACTTCATCCCGAACTGAAAGCAAACGTAGAAGAAGGGGACGTAAGTGAGGAATTCTGGATATTTGCAAATAAGAAATGTGTTTGAACAGAGTTTTCTTGGAGTAGTAAATGGAGCTCACTACTAACAGGTGGAAAGGCCAATACAATGGCACAAATTGTCAAAAAAGCCAAATTCATGAAATGGCCAAATTCATGAAATAATAAAGTTGATGAGAGGAAGTCTTGAAGTGTAAGGCTCTCTTTGAACCTCTAACAGGCTTTAGGTTGAAGCAGAGGGTTTCAGGTTGGGGGGGGGGGGGGGGTTGTGATGGTAGCAAATGTTGTTCAATAAAAGACTTCAGATGATGGAAAACATTATTCTAATTAAATTTAATTGAAACCAACGCGTTTTTCATTTTCATTCTATAGCAAAGGTCCAAACCTGAGATTACGATTTGTATTGGCTGTTTTCATTTTGAATGCATCAAAGTTCAAATTCACGCCATTGTTACAAAAATACCTACTTTGTACCTGATAATCTTTGCAGTTTTGAATCTTTCATCTAGACATTTTCTGTATAGTCACCTGCCTGTTTTCAGGAGGTTCGAAGATTTGAGCAGAAGATACTACGACTGCCGTGAACCATTGTACCAGAAGACATACGACGACATGGTCCAGGTGCCTCCTTTTCTTCCCAGCATTTCTCTCTTGATCGCTGTGCTCACAGGGAGACTGTCTGAGCCACCTCAAGTACAGTCCTTCAAGTTCTCCTCAAGTAAGAAAGGCTCATTACAGTTTGACCTTTTCATAAATTTGGACGAACACATCCTTGTCTATAAAAACTGTGCTCCCAATACCGTAACCATAAATATGTATTAGTCTGATTTAGATTATCAATAAAAAGAGTAACATTTTTGCTACATACTTGAAATACTTCTGTGTGTTTTGAGTGTAGCCATATTTGTAAGGGCCTTTAAATATTGTCAATAGCATCTTCTCGTACATGAAAGAAAATTAAATGTTTCCTTGTTTCTGTTCTACCAACAAAAAAGGCATTTTAACTGAGAGAGAACCTCAAATGCTTTGATGTTTTTGGATCGTGGTTCGAATCCAGTTTTTTTATTGGAAATTCTAGATATTGTGCCTATTAATGTCACAATCAAGTCCAAAACCGTGGTTTTTCAGGTGCTAACCAACTTCCTTTCTGTTTGTTGTTGGAAATTAAACATTCTTCAAGTGTATAAGATTGTTGAGACGAAAAAGTCAACATTAATGTATTTAGGGCTGAACCTTTCATTGAAAGTAGTTGGTTTCTGTTCATCCTACCCAAAATATTATACTTACTCATCAGTACAGCCTGTATGATGAAACCTGTTTCCTTTCCCTGGGCACTGTCCAATGCTTTATGGCCCGAGTCAGTCCTGGGTATACGGAGAGTCAGGAGACATGCCCTATCATACAGGGTATAGTTTTCTACGAGGTTTTTCCCCTAATCTAGAGTGTATGATCTTTTCCCCAGCCTGTTCAGAGCTCTGCCATCGAACGGACACACTCCACTTATCCTCCAGTGCTACCAGTAGAACAGACTCTAGCCTCACATCAGTTAAAAGGTTCTTGTCTGCAATCCAGCTTCGGCTTAACCCACCTCTCCCGTCTACTTCTGCAGAAGATGTAACATGGTATAGGTCTCTAATAGTAGAATATTACGAAATATACATTCGATAACACCACCATACTAACTTACAAGTTAATGGTATGAACTCTTGAAGTAAGACGTCACGAATAATAAAAAATAACAGTCTCTACTGACACTTAAATTATGTATTCCCAACTTACTCTGTGTTAGTACGAGACATTAAATATATCTATATTGTTTTGCAACGGGTTGGTAACGCAGGAAGGAGCTATGTCGCCAAGCTCTTTTAATTTACTGTAGAAATCACAAAATAAGCTTTCGTTATCGAAACAAATCTCAACAGCAGTAGCATAGTACAGAATTTAGCATAGCAGTAATATATTGTTTCCACTTAGGTTTGATACAATCAACTGTGTGGCCAAGTATACATTAATAACTAGATCACAATTTAGACTTTGATGTGATCTTTTATTTTTTTACACTTTAATTTTGAACCTGGAACAAACAAACAGACACTGGTTCTATTTTCACTTTGTTATTAAATGCAGCAGAAATCATTAAGTTTGTCGTTGGCCTCTGATAAACAACAATATACCCGCTAAGAAATAAATGGACAAGAAAGGAAATATTCTTATTTATTTTTTATATAAAGATGCATGTTTGTCCATAACAAATAAATCTTCGGCTACGTATCAGTTTAGAATATATTTTGTGAATAATAATTTTTTACATTAAGTATTGAAATGTTTTAAAGTCGTCCTAGGATAAAAGGGATAGGCCAAAACTGCACCTCAATAATACAACTTAATATTTCTGAAGTACAAGTCCCTTCAGAACAGTGACGCAATTTCACTACTGCTGTGTCTGCTAACAAGTCATCTCCTGTTTTCAGGCGCTTGATATAGTGCTAACAATTGGACTATGAGAAAAATAGCAATAGTAACTAAAAGACATTCTATTTGACCAAAATAGCTGTACAAATCATTGAATAAATAAATAACAATAATTGTTTCACATATTGGATAAAATGGCCCCTATATATTAAGATGGACACATTTTTAGCTAATTCATAAAGAATGTATGTAAGATAATTTTTATGACCTTTGATCACAGAAAACATCTTTGATGTACCTCATAAAATTTTTGTTCCGTTACCCAATTGTTAATAAAAGATAGTCTTTATTCTTTTCATTTGAATACAATATTTTCAGTGAAATTCACAAGCCTACTTCAGGAAAACTTAAATAGTTCAATAATATGCGGAATCTTGAGGTTTATGGTAGTTTAAGTAATTAAGAGTACCACAAGACTCACCTTATGTAATATGGATTTCCTTTCTCTTAAAAAATCAAGGACACGGAAATTTCTCTGGTCACGAATTCAAGAACTGTATGTCACTTAATTTCTCACCCAATTGTAGAAAAAATGCATGAGGTGGGCCAGATTTTAAGTTTAAAACCCACCCCTTCAGGTATCCAGGTTTTTGAAGATGTAAGCTGAACATATATTTAATTGTTGTCGAATTATTTTCTACACACTCCATCCATTTCGTTTTAGCCACTCCAGTTCCCACGCCCACTCGGCACCAAGAGAGGATTTGCTGGAAAACCTTGATCTGTTCTTCGCTCCAGTCAGTGAAGCTCCTTCCGGCAAAGTGCTCCAGGATTTGGAGTACTTCCTGGAGTGTCATCAGGCCTCCGCCACAAGGTAAGGGATGGACTGTAGGGTGAACATGGCTGAAGAGGACAAAGTCATAAAACTGCCAAAGTATGGCTTTAGCTCTCTGGAACTTAACGATCAAGTCACTTGGGGCGAATCGTTCAAATTGTATGAGGGGAGGCCGATGGAAAAAGTCCTCGTCTTCAAAAATTATGATTTCTGGATAAATTTTGAATTAGGCCAATTCTGTGTCCAACAACAATCTTGTCATTGGGGCTAAAGTAATAAATAGTTTGAACCAGAGGAGAAGGTTGAGTGACAAAAAAATGTGTTGATGCAGGTTTTGATCATCCTAATATTTAAACTATGCTAGAAGGATGGAATATATTTGTTGCTGAATAAACTGTGCTTTATGTAGGCCTAAAGATAATAGTACACCAAGTAGCCTTTGAGATTTTATGTATTTCCGCAGATTCCAGAGGATAATAACACACCATATTCTTAAAAGAATACACTTAACGCCTCTATAACGTAAAATTGAAGTATATTTTCTGTTCATCCACAATTTTCTGGCAAAATATTGGGTGATATTTTAGGTTGTATTGATAACTTTAAACAGTAATATCTTACGTAGTTTAAGGTAAAAGGTGCGATAATAGTTACAGTTAAGAAATGTTTTATATAGAATAAACTAGCTGACCCGGCGAACTTCGTATCGCCTAAGTTATAGGTTTCCCCTAAGACAGACCGATGGAAAGAAAGTACCGTTACGTTTAATTTTCAAGATGATCTCGTTCGCATCGCTCAATCACGTCCTGGTTGAAGTTCGTTCGCTACGCTCACTCACCTTTGGGTTGGAGCTCGTTCGCTACGCTCACTCACCTTTAGGTTGGAGCTCGTTCGCTGCGCTCACTTGCCTTCAGGTTAGCTCGTTCGCTACGCTAACTCGCCTCCAGGTTGAAGTTCGTTCGCTACGCTCACTCACCTTTTGGTTGCAAATTAGCTGTTGTCATAAATGTAAAAGAAATAATAGTGCTGCACCCTGTTGGTAATCCTTGTAACTTTAATGCTATTGAACATCATAGAACAGAACCAACTTGTTTAATTGAAACAGCTGTTAAGATTCATTAATTCCATTTCTCATAAGGTTAACATGGGAAACTCCAGAGCCACTGGGGCGGAGCCCTTTTAAGAATTTCGAAACGGAAAATAGTTTACGTCCAATTCGCATACCTACAGAATTTACACACCAAATTTCATAACGATCGGTGAAGTCGTTCCGGAGGAGTTTGCAGACAAACACTGTGACACGAGAATTTTATATATTAGATTTTATATTGTCCTTGAAATAAATTGACTACATAGAAATAATGTAAATAAGCTTGATAAGGCAAACAAGAGTGAATTATGATGGATTATAATAAACTAGTAGACATATGTAAAACTTCAAACTAGTCACTGTACCAGCCCCAAAATTTCGATTGTGACTGATTCAATGATTTTTGATCAATTTCAATAGAATCACATGCTGTTACCTTTTTCAGTTGTATGCCATTTTCAAACTCCTTTGCCCAGAGAATACATAAAATGAAATTATATTTTGGAATTAAGAACTTATCCTACTCTTTAAACTTTTGTATCAGTTTTCTTTTAACAACTGACAAGGATGCTATGTCTTCTTCGTACAGAAAAAATAATTATTAATAAACCTGTTTCTGTTTCAAGATACCAGATGCCAATCAACAAAGCAGCCCGTGCCTTCTTGTTGCTTTCTCGTCATCCTGATATGCAAACTCTGTACAAGCAGTCTATACTCATTGAGTCTTAAGTCAGAATTGATTAGAAGAATGATGAATTGATGTGAACAAGGAGTAGAAACTAAATATCACAGAGACCAACTTCGACCAAGCATTGTTGTCTTACTTCATCCTACGACTTTGGATAAGTGACTAAAGCATCAACCAGTCAAAGTATTTAAATAGTGGAAACTGTAATAAATTGATTTAAAATCAAATGTAGTACATGTAGTTATTTTTTATGTTGATTCAGACACAAAAAAGGTGACGCCACTGTTGAATTTTAATTGGTTTATAAATTGATTTGTAAATGGCAAATCTATATCTGAGCACAATTTTACCTATCCAGACGTGGGTTTTTGTGATTTTTACTGGGCTGGAAATAGTGTAATTTGGTTTATATTTCATCCACCGGGTCTCAGCTTTATTTCATGCCAATAACCTCTCATTCATCAGTATTATTAAGCTCTGACTTGCAGGACAACACTTCATTAATATAACTAGTAAAAAGTTAGAAAATATTATGTAGATGGCATTAATGTATTGCTTAAAAATTTTGTTTTTAAGAAATACCTCAAACTCAATTAACACAGAATTAGAATATATAAATTTCACACAATAATCGAATTATGTATTTAAGTTTTAAAATAGGGTTTTGTTTAAACTACTATTTTAACGTAGGTTATCGAAATAAATATGTTCTCAGAGATGAATACTGTTTTCCAAGACATCAAAGTCCTGATTCACTCATAGTATGAAGACGATGTAATGAATCCAATAGGGAGAGCCCTCCCCTCAAAGGGCATACATTAACAGTCTGATACTGATTTCAGATAGTGATTTGCATTTACAATATTGCTGTTCCCCAGAGGAATCAAATATAAATGATTAAAAGAACGTGTTTTACTCACACCAATCCACCAACGCATTAAGTCAAGACAACCAAGCTGCAAACAGGTAGAAACTTGGAATACACCACACTGCATCCTACATACACCTACTCTATGCTAATAAGTCCTGAGGAGTGTAGGTCAATGTAACCAAAGCCGAGGTCAGTGTCCCCAGCCAAATCAGGGCAGTTTTCGCGGGCTGGGTGTCCTTTTGGCGGGTATACTTGTTTACGGTTGTCCAGTTCCCTCGTAAACTGCAGACGACACGCGCGGCGACCGCTAAGTGGAAGGAGCTTTATCAGGCGAAAGTAATCAAATTAGTAAGATTTATTGGGTTTGCCTTTGAAGGATGCAGAGATTTTTGGTGGTGATTTAATGGGATGTATCAGGTCTTATAGGGACGTGATGTTCAAAATTATCTAGCTGTAATGTAGGATGGAAATGTTGGAGGTTCATTTAGGGTTAAATCTATACTATTATAAAAAAGAGGTGGTTGCTGTATGTGTGTATGTGTGTATGGGAAAAGTAAACTCGAAAAATACTGGTCGGATTGGGCTGAAATTTGGCATGATGATAGCTCACATTCCCGATTAACATATAGGCATATTCTTATTTCAAAAATCCTTTCTGGCTCCGCCCCAGTGGCTCTGGAGTTTCCCATGTTAACCTTATGAGAAATGGAATTATTGAATCTTAACAGCTGTTTCAATTAAACAAGTTGGTTCTGTTCTATGATGTTCAATAGCATTAAAGTTACAAGGATTACCAACAGGGTGCAGCACTATTATTTCTTTTACATTTATGACAACAGCTCATTTGCAACCAAAAGGTGAGTGAGCGTAGCGAACGAACTTCAACCTGGAGGCGAGTTAGCGTAGCGAACGAGCTAACCTGAAGGCAAGTGAGCGCAGCGAACGAGCTCCAACCTAAAGGTGAGTGAGCGTAGCGAACGAGCTCCAACCTAAAGGTGAGTGAGCGTAGCGAACAAACTTCAACCAGGACGGGATTGAGCCATGCGAACGAGATAATCTTGAAAATTAAGAAGTTAAACGGGGCAAAGCCCGCGGGTTACAGCTAGTAGGTAAATAATTAAGTCCATACAAATAATAATAAACATTTTTAACTAGTAACGAGACAAACCTAACATCAGAATGATTATTATCAATTGAGATGGGGATGCCACTTAGGTGGGTTTTTGAAACCATGAGTGTAGAATAGAGTGAGATGCCAGTAGCTTTTTTACTGAATAAGATCAGCTGTTTCCCTGGCTAGGACCATTTATGTCAATCAGACAGCTGGTTCCAGTGTTGAACCATCAAAAAGCTACATACTTTCATTGACTGTACACAGAATATACTTCCCATGTGATATGAAAGTTTGAAGCCAAGAAAATAGATGAAGTTCAGGACCATCTCACCAGATTGTGTCTAGTCAATGATACTTTTCTCAGGATCACACGAGTGACTTTTTGATTACTAGGGGAGCACTATTACCATTAAGCTATCCAGTGGCCTACTTTCCTAAGCAGTATAGTTTGTTTGTTTGATTGATAAATTTTGAGGGGTACTGTACAATTCAACTAAAAGTTTCTATATGCTTCGTTATGAAACAAGAAATCTGAAGAGGATAGTTTATTTAAAATTATTTAAGAAAACAACTCCACTACTGAAATATATTTTTGTACAGGGAGCGGAAAAATGATCTGACGGTTTTCTTTGCTACCCTGTCGAGTGAGTGAGTGGCGGAGGATGGTAGAAGTTGGGTTGATACAAAGCCTACGAGTAGACATTTTTAGTAGCCATGGAGCTGTGGACAGCTTAGCATCATGCATTTATAGTGGAAGTGTTTTTTATAAAGTGGCAATTCCTGTGTAGCTGTTCCGTAGTTGTTTTAATGTGGGTCCAAGGGAGATAGTCCCAACTCGAAACACCATTTTGCTGTTGGTGGATAACTTCAGAGCTACTAGTTCAGCATTGATAAGAGTCAACAGGCCGTCCAAGGTCAGCCCCACCCACAGCAAAATAGTATTTCAAGTTGGGACTTTACTTCTTTGACCCACGTTGAAACGTCTACTGAAGAGTTGCACAGGAATTGTCACTTTAAAAAACACTTCCACTACAAATGCTTAGTGCTCAGCTGTCCACAGCTCCATGGCTACTAAAAATGCCCACACGTTGGCTTTAATGCTCCTATTCCCACCACCCTCCGCCACTCACTTCGTCGACAGGGTGGCAAAGAAAACCGTCAGATAATTTTTACGCTCCCTGTATATGATTCCCTTTTTTCAATTAAGGCATTGTTTTAAGAGTGAAACTAAAATTAGAATATTAAAATTAAAAAATTTAAACCGAAAAGTACATAGAAAAGTGGTAGGAATTAATTTTATTGTCAATGGAGGCATTCGATATTTTTCTTTCAAAGTTCAAAAGCCTATGGGGGAGGCTCTAATACCAAAACAGGAATAAGCCTTTGGTAATCCTAAATGCGTAGATTGACTTTGTACGCAGTTTCAATTTTTTCCAGAGGTCTTTGTTTAATGGAGAACAGCCAGTCACCACATTGTTTAAAACAATGTAATTAGTGAACATATGTATAGTAGGAAAAAACCGGTGTCACTTATTGTACCTTGCTTGTGAACTATGACTTGATTGTTTAGAAGGACATTTAAGCACATTTAACTTCGTTATCCCTTGCATTTCACACTTCATTTGCTGACTGCTATATACATCAGCCGTGGGACGGGAATGATGAAGATTTCAGGACATTCCATCATAACTCCAGCTCGCCAGGGACCTGATCCTGCCCCTATTAGGCAATCCAAACTTTATGTCGGTGCCATTTTCCTGTAATCCTGAAATATGTGATTTCTGCGTGACGGTTTAGGTGGTCTTAATTTACTTTGTAACCGGCTTCTGAGTTTAAAAATCTACTACTCTTTGTTTTTCATCTTATGATTTTTTTTTAAGGGAACGGTCCAAACTTTGGTTAGTGACGACTAACGTCGACCGATCGTTGGATAGCAAAATTAATTGATGGCCCAAAGAATCAGAATCGGTCCAGAATGGTCGAACCAGCCACCCTTAAATTTGAAGGACATTGAAAAGTGTTGATTTGTGAAAACATATGAACCCGTATCTAGCTGTAAGTACAAATGTCAAATAAAAGACTGTATCAGCCAACTCACACATTCTTTCTTCCCGTAAGTTCATATAAAATATTATTCCCCAAGAGGATCAAATTGTATCTGAAACGTCATATAATTTGCTCCACTGTTCAAACCACCAAACATCCGCTGCATAGCTTAGTTTGTTTTTCGAGAACCAGGTCGTGATCGAACGCGGGAATATATTGGAGGGAAGAGAGGTCCAATTGACCAGCTGATTTACAGCTGATCGCGAAACAACATGGTCATCAATAAAATGTGATAATAGTGTGGTGGAGATCGCGAAGACACAGACAAACTGCCTGGTTTTGCTATTATACCGTCTCTGTGACCTGTTTAACACATTCCTTGTACTCACGTAGCGATCGAGGCAGACATTTAAATAGTTTGTTAGTATCCTTTGCGTGGTTAATTGGTACTTCAGTATTAAACGGAGGCCACATTTTGTCAGCGCGCTGCGGCGGTTATGTTAGGTTGGGTTATCGTAAATATTATGTGTGTAGGACTTTCCTCGCTTCGTTATGAATCGAACGATACTTTCTATTATGATAACCCAACCTAACATAACCGCCGCAGCGCGCTGACAAAATGTGGCCTCCGTTTAATACTGAAGTACCGGTTAATTTATACAAGACTACCAAGTACCAACAACAACATACGAGCTTTAATATACTTTGTACTGTACCTTAAAATATCAATTATCAATCATTTAAGATGGGGACGCCACTATGTGCGTACTTTAACCCAAATATGAGTAAAGGATGAGTGTTGGATGAGTGGCACGATTTTGTAGTCTTGTTAGTGACTAAAACCAGCTTGTCCCTTAGACACAGCTGTTAATTAATAGCCCATACAACTAATGGCAACTAAGGGACCTACAGTGGAATCCGGACCACATTGTTCCTTGTATTTAGCAAATTTGTCTAATTATCAGGATATTACTGCGGATAGTACTCAATAGTGCGGACGTTAATCCACACCAGGGAGCATCGCATCCACAGTGCATCGCGAATATCCACAATTCGCGACCTCCTAGTAGTTAGACCATAGGATGACGCCACCGCCCCAGTCTTTTTGGATAAATCTACTAGTGCTGTGTGACCCAACAATTCTTTACGATGGTAGCTATTT